GTGCGGTCCCGGGTCTAGAGGTGGCGGCGACCTGTCCAGAGTAGCCGGCCGCCGAACGTCGCCGGCTGGTGCCGGTCGGCGAGCATTCCGAACGGCCTGGCGCCGCCTGGCTGGAACCAGTTCTAAACAGGAAGACCATTACGCAACGCGCAGCACCTCCGAGTGCCGCCCGCCGGACGTCGTGGCAATTGATGACGTCACGCCGACCGAACGTGACGGCGGCGACGTGCAGGATCCCAGAGGCTCGGCGGTGACCGGCGCCGTGCTCGTGGACGCCGCCGGCGTCGTGCACAGCCTGCTGCTAGGGAGGAGGTCGTCACCGCTCAGGCGGCGCCGTCCCAGGCAAGCCGGCCCTGGGGCTGACCGGGCCAGCAGTGGGGGGGGGGGGGGGGGGCGCGATCGGTGGCCAGGGCAGCCGCAGACGGCGCCGGCGGGCCGCACCGTTGGGTAACCGGCCGGCCGGCGGCCGGTCTGTTGTGACGTATGCGCCGCCGCTGGAGCGGGGGGAGGGGGGAAGCGGGCCTGGCCAGCTGCCAGCCGCGCCGGGCACGACGCCTTCCAGGTGCAGTCAGCGGGGTGATGACCCCCGGCGTCCTCTGGCAGGAGGGCAGCGTCGGAAGTGCTGACGCCCGGCCAGGGCTGTACGGCATTTGACAGAGGCGGTGCCATCCTGCAGATCAAGGGGTGTTGCTGTTGTCAGCGGGATCAGTAAGTTGGAGGTCACTTTACCTTGACCCTTTGTCTCCAGGGGCGGCGCCACCGAATTTTGCAGGGGGGGGGGGGGCAGCTGGAATAGGCAAGCAGATATTGGGGTTATGATTGCGGTTTTGGGATCTCCTATCCCAGGCCCCGTCTAAAAAATCTGCCAGATTTCGCTCACTCTCCAAAACAATTGCCTAAGTTAATATCAGTTCCTTAAAGCTTCCCCTTGGCATTGTGGGACCTTCGGTCTTTTAAGTGGCAGTGTCTTGAGCTGGGAGGCTTGCTGTGGTTTTTTGTCGTGGAGCCTCCTATGCATTTTTTTAGGCCGCCTGCGGGAAAGGTTTGATAAAACCTCCTGCCTCGGGCAGCTAAGACCTGGTGGCAGGGTGAGGTCCTCGGATATTTACGGAGAAAAAATATACGTTTGCCTTCTTGTGAAATGGCAACACCGTTGGCTGACCCCTTGCCCCTGGTGTCGCCGTCATTTTCTGCCCATGAGTAAGTGGCTCTAAGCCGAACGCCTCACAGCGCTCTCCAAAGTGGGAGCCCGCGGGTGATCCCAGTTTCTCCTGCGGGTGCCAAAAACAAGCCGGCAGCACTTTACCCGCCCGGCGACAGCTGCGGGCAGCATTCCAAAGCCGCCCGGCCGCCGCCGCGCCGCCAAAAACGCGCCGCTCTCCCGGGGAATGTTGTCGGCGGGCGGCCGAGCACGACCGGCCGAGCACGACCGTCGCCGCGAGCCGCCGCGTCTCTCTCGCGCCGCCGGCTTCCGAGGCGGCTCAGTGGGACAGGATGTGACCGCGGCGCGGCGTCCGGGCGTAATCCGGCGGCGTGCTCCGGCCGGCTCGGCCGCCGCGCCGCCGCCGGCCTCCCCTGGCCTCCCCTGGGAGGTGGGCGCCCGTCGTGGGAGTGGTCGGCTGTGTTTGGGTGCTGTCGGCCGCGGCCGGTGCTCCTCCAGAGGAGGGCTGACCTCGTCGCCAACGGTGTGCGTTATCGATTTGGCTGCGCTAGCGATGTGTCGGTGTTTTGTTGCAAGCCTTTGTCTTCGCGCGTTGCTGTGTGGAACGGCTGGCGAAGCGTCTTCAAAAAATATCGCTAACCATGGCGGACGGAGTCGACCGTTCGGCGGTGTGACCGCAGACGGGCCGGTCCGCTCGTCTCGTCCGGCGCCGCGGACGGGATAGGTGCAATGCTTTCTAAAGTTGTGGTGCTGATACCGCACTGGGCACTGGCATCCAGAGGCTTGAGTGGGTACCGGCCCAGAGTCGGCAGGGGGTGACCGGTGTCGTCGTGGGTGCGCGACGCATTCGCCGTAGGCCGACATGTTGCGGTGCTACCAAAGCCTCGCCAGCGCCTGCGTGGGGCACCGGTCCAGTACCTCCCGCCAGCGCCCATTTGACACCAGCTACCTGCACCATGTTACCGACACCGTGCATCTCTAGGGCGCATCTGCTGTGCGAGAGTGTGCGGTGCAGGGGAACGTCGGGTCGGCACTGCCCCGCGGGCGGTGCAGACAGCGAGCTGGGGCGTGGCCGCACGCGCCGGACCGACGCCCGCCGGTGTCTCCGACGGCCGTCGGCGCCGACGGCGGCTATCGGTCGGATCGGCGGCGCCCAGACGGATGGGCCGCTCCGGCGGCCGCGCCCGAGCGAGCGCGTGTCAGGCGCGGGCGGGCGGCTGACGGGCCGGGTCCGCCGGGCGGTCCGCCGCCAGCGGACCCGGCGTGCCGTCTCCATTGGGCTGGCACGTCGGTGAAGGGACGCCTCGGTGCTGTCGCGTGAGCACAAAACATGGAACCGCCGGCTCCGGCGCAGGCCTGTTGTAACGATAGGCGGTCTCACAAAAAGGCCGCCGCTGGATGGCTTCTGTTTCTCAGGCGTGGGAAAGTCAGGCCGCTGCGCTGGCAGCGACGTTTCGAATTGAAAGTCCGCCGGTCTTCCGTGCTGACGTGGTTCATCGCCCACCATGCATTCCGCTTAGGTGGTCCCTTGCCCACCATTTATCCCGCCATCCTTGTTGCGTGTGGAGTGGTGGGTATCCCGGGTGCAAGGTACGATTGCATTGCCCACAAGGTACGATTGCATTGCCCACATCGAGTACGGAGCATGCATAGCAATGACAACCACTCCTGTGCTGGCTCATGCGGGGAGTCCCGAATTCTGCAGTAATCTGTCGTATGCATGGTGACATCAACGGCCATCATCATGTTCCACACATCTCATGAGCGGACCACACGTCAATGTGATGTTGGGTTAAGTCAAGTTATATTGCCCGTCAGACGTGTGGTACCAACGTGGGACGGACAAAAAACGGGCAAAAAACAAACTTGATTTTTGTGAATTCGCTGCAAGGATCTCTTCAATAATTTTGAAAGACTGTGAGGCAAAAACGAACTTCAGATGTCACCAGGGCGCGTGGATGCGGTTCCATGACATATTTGGTAAGAGCAGAGATAAGTTCCGGTGGATGATAGCGTGGCCGATGATTATCATCAGCTTTTTCACCACGGAAAGATCGTTCGTAGAGTTCTCGGACACCATGCTCAGCGGCGCTTGCTCCTCGGCAAGCCGGCAGGTCGTTGGCACAGTTCAAATGTGCTCGATTTGACGTGAGCCAGAGACCACCTTTGGCTGGAACAGCGGAGGCCAACTTGCCAGCAGCTGATCTAAGAGGGTCTGGATCGGTTCTGGACGTACTGCGTTTTGGTATAGTTGACAGTGCTAGCAGGGTCGGCGAGAGCTTCTTAGAAAGAGCCGACTAGAGCCGCACCATATTTAAGCTGTCAGCGATCCAGGTGGCATGTGGCGTCGGGCTTGGAATCATTCGCAGATCCCCGGTTCGATTCCTGCTGCAGGCAGCATTCGCCGCTGCCGGTTCAAGAAGGGATGATAACCCAAATGACCTGAGCATTGTCACTGCTGTCAAAGGGTACCTGTTCGTGAAAAGTCGATCGATGATGCCAAGAGCTTGGACGTTGACCAGCCTCCTTGGTATTCTTCCCTGATTCCAAAATGTAGACACTCGATCCTCCGAGGCCTTGCAGAGGTTTGCTCGTAATCGAGTGTCACTGCTCGCCCCGGTGAATGATTGACCCCAGAGCCAGAAATATTACAAAATGGTAGCGAAACTGATGACTGATACAAATATGAGACGCCGAAGATAACCATAAGCAGTGACGTTTCCGTCGTTTTCTCGATGTTTTGGTTGACGTTTGAAAAGTGTAAAGTAAATTTTCACGCCGCGCGACGATGCGGACGGCAAGATATTGGCCGCGCAGGTCACAGGACCAAGAGGGGTGCGGCGCACCAAACCAAGCTGGCGATGGCGACAACCGGGCGCCATCGCCTCGGACGGTGCTGTTGACTGCCGTGACGACGTGGGCGCCAGCGCGCCCTTGTTGCTTGACGAGCCGCTGATTATTCATTCCCAACGATGCGGCGCCGCTGTTGGCCGGCTTTGCGGCAGCCTGGCGCCGCCCTGGCCGCCGCCGACTGCGCCTGTGTGTCGGACGACGACGGCGGCGGCGGCGGCGGCCACAGCCGCGGGGTTCGCGCCGGCCGTTGGCGGTGGTCCCCGCCGGCCGCCGCCGGCCGCGCCTGCGTGTCGGACGGCGGCGGCCACAGCCGCGGGGTCCGCGCCGGTCGTTGACGGTGGTCCCCGGCGGCCGGCGGCGGTCGTCCCCGCCGGTCGTTGGCGGTGGTCCCCGCCGGCCGGCGGCGGCGGCGCCGGCTGTTGCAGCGGCGCTGCCGCCGGCGCGGCGGGCCGTTACGGTCGGCCCGGGGACGACCGGAAGCGGCGCCGCCGCGGCCGGCCGCGTGAGCTGTCACGCTCACTTCCGGCCCTTCCGGCCGCCGGCCCCTGCCGCGGGCGCTTCGGTCCCATGCGTCATCCGTGGGACGGCGCCGGGCCGGCGGATGCTGCGGGGTGATCGCTGCGATCTGAACGCGCCGACTGGGCTTGGACCGCCGTCTGATCTGTGTGGGATGAGGCGTGATGTGGTGGTACAGAGTGGAGCGGGGCTGCTGTTAATTAGTGTTATGCGTGGCGGCGATGTCTGGGTGGAGAATTTTGTGACTTTGGTTATGGAGGAGCTCTATTTGTGATGAAATGGCAATTTTAAACGCTGATGTGGCGTGCTGTGGATTACGGGACTGGAAAGTGCAGGCATCTGCCATGAACTGTGCAAAATTAGTTTTCACTTGGCAGAAAGCTTCGAGTTTTTAAGAAATGGCCTATTTACGTCACCGAGATGAAAATAGCGAGCCGGTGTGTGCACTTCGTGGGATAGGTGTGAACCTACGGGAAACGGCACCATGATTGACCGTACCGTGACCTTTGCAGGTTCTCTGACACGTGACCTACGGACCTACCTGAACACGCGGTTCCAGAAGGGCTCTGTGGACCATGAGCTGCAGAACACCATCAGGGACAATCTGTATCTTCGCACCGTGCCTGTCACTACGCGGGCCCCGAGGCCAAACGAGGTCAGCCGGGTCGCGGGGTCACCTGAGAGGGAGGGAGGGTCCTAATATCCAGCCCACCTGCCAAGCCAGCCTGTGCTCACCGACTCTGACCTTGCCCTCTCGCGTGTCGCCGCCATTCAGAGCTGCGGCCGACGCGTGAAACGCGATGCCGACGCAGAGAAATCCGATCAGGCGCCTGTCATCTGCCGAAATAGCGCTCGGCCTGGGTCGCTTTGTCGGCGTCGGTGCCGACTCACCTGCGTGGTGCGCCCGGCGGTCGGGTGACCGGATCTTCGGAGCGGAGTGCCATACTGCTCTGTGTGTGCGGTACCTGCTCCGTCACGATCTTTGAGCCTGCTGACGCGCGCTCACGTCGGTTGCAGGTTCCCGGCGTGGACTACACGTTCCTCACGCTAGCCGAGTTCAAGGACTTGGAGCGGTCCGGAAATCTACTGGAGAGTGGTGTTTACGAAGGTGAGACGGCAGTGTCGTCCGGGTCATGTCACAGGTCATGAAGGTGAGACGGCGGCGTCGGCTGGGTCATGTCACAGGCCAAGAAGTCGATACAGCAGTGTCGTCCGGGTCATGTCACAGGTCGTGGAGGTGAGACGGCGGCGTCGGCCGGGTCTGTCACAGATCATAAAGGCGGGTGAGACGGCAGCATCAGGTCGTGGCCCGGTCACAACTCGTGCCAAACTCCGGACCCGTGTGCGGTCGTGCGCGGCGCGCTGCTCAGTGAACCTCTCGCGAGTCTTGTGGACCCAGGGCCCGCACACGAGCGAGTCCGCCTCGGCCGCGTCTCGGCTGAACCCCGACCCCCAGCTCTCGGCCACTCCGTGTGGACCCGTTTGCCGGCCGCGACGCGCCACGCGTCGCGGCCGGACAAGTCACGTGACACGGCTGGCCCAGATTCGGCGGCCGGCGGGTGCGCTCTTTCCTTCCGGGACGGCTTTCCAGCGGCCGCCGCGGCGCTTTAACATAACAGGTTTGGTGACGTGTTTAAGGTGGCGGACCGGCGGGCGGCCGCGTCGCCCGGTCGCGACCACACCTTTGTTTTCGTCTGGCGGCGGCCGGCGTGGTCGGCTGGCGCGTCATGGCGCGCCCCCGACAACGGCGGCGGCGCGGGCGCGGGGCGGCCGTCGGCGTCGCCGCGCGGAGCCGGACGGCAGCTGCCGGCAGGGCCATGTCCCCAAGGCGCAGGAGAGCCGTGTCCCCGGACCGCGCTCAGACTGGCCAGTCCTCGGAGCGGGCCACCAGCGGGCCGCTGCGCCGCTGGCTGGCCGCGCTGACCGGCGGACCCGGCGGCGGCCGCGGCCGGAGGCGTGCCGGCGCCGGGCCGCGGCCGGGCGTTCTGGTGCACTGTCAGTGCCCCGTCTGCCGGGCTCGGCGAGCTCCCTCGGTCGGCGGAGCGCAGCCGGCGGCCCGGCGACGGCTGCAGGGCGCGTTCGGCCGCGGCGGGGAGAGGCCCACCGTGGATGAACGCGCCGCCGGCGGCAGCGGGACGGCCAGATCGGAGCGGCGGCAGAGGACGTGGGCCGCGAGGCGGCGCGACGGCGCGGCGCCGCCACAGGAGCGCTACTGCGACCACCCCGCCTGCAACGCGCCCGGGGGAAGGTCCGGAGACAGACTGAGCCCCGTCACCGCCTGGTCGGCCGCGTCCGATCTTCGGAACAAGACGTGGCGCTATCGCAGAACTGTAAACGTTTCCTCGCCCCGCCTCAAGTCGGAGACGGCACCTGAGCTGTGCTGGCTGTCTCGCTGCCTGAAGAGGAGGTTCGGAGCGGCGTGCAGCGATGACGTTGGCACCGGCCGGAGCACCCTGGACGCTCTGTTTCAGAGGTCGCCCCTGCTCGGGGGAACACTGCGAGCGGCACGAGGTGAGCCGTCCGCGGAGACGCCGACGCCGCACGTCGCCTAGACAGCCGTATCGCTGACGTCACGGACTCGGCCGTAGGCAGCGCAGCACCTAGCAGCTCCGTATGCAGCTGGCTCCGGATCGTTGTAGCTCAGAGCAGCAGACTGTCTTCGTCTGGTGAACCACCTCCTGTAGTTGAAGACCCTCCGCCCAGGAAAGGCACTGCGCGCGAGACCAGGGAGCGCTGGTGAGCCGCCGAGAAAGACGCTGGAAACACTAGGAAAAAAGACTGAAAGCGACCGCGCTGGGAAGGACGGATTATGCGGGGATGCGTCGCGCCAGCATCCCGTCTCGGCATACGACCGTCCACTGCCAGGTCTGAGTTTCGGGCGCGCCATGACGTCACTGAGAATGTGGTCCGTAATTGTTGCTGATACGTACCCCCTCCCCTTCCCCATAACTTGTGGTACTGGTGCACTGGCAATATATTGAGCATGGCTGTGACAAACTGAATCATTTAAGATTGTTGCTTTTGAATCCACGACACGCATTTAAACTGCGGATTTTGTGCTCCGTCATTGGTGTCCACGTCTTGATACATGGATTACTTACATCAGAGAACAAATTGTGCATGATGCGTTCAGGATATCCTGGGACAGTTGCATGATTGTGAACAGTCTAGTGTTACGTTGAAGCGTTCAATAGAATGTTCCACATGTGAAAATTTTGAAGCAGGCATTAGATGCGATGAAATAAGCTCACTTATAATGAGCAGTATGCTTTTACGGGGAGTGTTTCACTTGTGTATGGGGTCCTGCACTGAAGTAGCCGAGTTGAGGACCATTCGGTGCAGTTCACAGCCATGCTCTTTTTAAGATCTAAAGCTCTTAAGTTTCTGAGCTTCACGCCCGCGAAGATGTGATTTCGGGGAAACTATTTCAAGGGCACCCGACCAACCATGAAGTCATAGTAATGCTATTCAGAATAAATCCTGTTATTTCATTTGTCATGCGGTGTTCAAGGTAGGGACAAATTTATTGTCGCGTCGTTGATATATGGTATTCATGATCACGATTTTCAGATGTAACTGTCATTTAACTGTCATATAACTGTCTGGCTGTCAATCGGCTCTTAATAAATCTCGTGCAAGGTACGATGACGTGATCAAACAATGACACATTGACGAACACATTCACTAAACAGAGGAATTATGTTGTCTAGAGCAGTCAATTCCGCCTAAAAGTTTACCAATAATTAAAGGTGAGCCTAGTTCACCATATAGGATGCTTGCTTTACCTTCTTCAAATGTTGTTAATTGCTGTCATCTCCCTTTATTTTTATTTATCTTTTATCCCCTTACATTCCAAAGTGGGAAAGTCCGCTGAAGGCAAGATAATTTTTCTGTTTAGTAAATATGCTCCTCAATACGCCATTGTCTGATTACGTCATCGTATTTTGCAGAACACTGACTGAGAGCCAATTGACAGCCGTATTATCTGGAAAGTGTGCTCACGAATGCCAAACATGAAAAGCTCAACTACCATTTTTTCTGGCTTTGTTCCCTGCATGGGTAATGGAATTGACTTTATTATGCGCCATGGATGGTTGGGTGACCTTAGAATAGTCTCCTCGAGGGTGTGTGCACATCTCCGCGGACGGGTAGCCCAGACATTAGAGAGGTTCAGGTTTTAAGAAGGGCGGGACAGTGAACTACACCAAATTATCTATGAGATGGGTATTTCGGTTTAAAACGCCATGCAAATGTGGAACATTCCCTTTACAGGCAGTCTGATGTACTTATACCACCGCAACGAGCATTGCATAGAGGGAACGCCCACCAGAAGCTGGCGTGCCGTGGAGAGACTGGACACGTGGTGTCAGTGGTAGAATCGGCACGATCCGTACCGAGTCGCCTTGGTAGAGTGGTAGCGCGTGAGCGCACCATCACAGCTGTCGGGGTGGCCGGACCGTGGCAGATTCTGGATGCGCTGCGATTGGCTGGTGGGCTGTCACTGGTGTCAGTTTGCCGGCCGCTGAGCTGGCTGTGGACCATCCGCTGAGCTGGCTGTGGAGGTCAGTAGCTGTGAGCAAGTGTCCGACCAGCCGATGCAGCCGCTGACCTGGCAGCGCTCGCCTCAGGCTGCGCTCGTCAGCTCCGGCGACCTCGGCGGTGTTTGGTGGCGCCGGCTGGGGCCGTGCCGGCTGCGCACCCGATGAGCCCCTCTGTCCTGCGTTGGTGGCTCCTCGCAGCGGTGCACGCGAGGCGACCCACACTGCTGCTGGCTCCTCGCGGTGGTGCGCGCGAGGCGGCCCGCACTGCTGCTGGCTCCTCGCAGCGGTGCACGCGAGGCGGTCCACGCTGCTGCTGGCTCCTCGCAGCGGTGCACGCGAGGCGGGCCACGCTGCTGCTGGCTCTTCGCATTGGTGTGCGGGGGTGATCCACACTGCTACTGGCTCCTTGCAGCGGTGCGCGCGGGGCGGCTCGCACTGTCTGGCCGAACCGAGCGAGAGTCGGTGGAAGTCGGGAGCGGAGGCGAGATGGTTCGGACGGTATGGCAGCACGGCAGCGCTATGGAGACGGCCGATTTAGCACACCTGAGCTTCGCATGGCACTGAGGATACCAGGCCGTGCATCCGTGCCTGTGATAATAGCGACAGCAGTGGTGGGGATCGAAATAATGCTGATAGAGATGATAACAATCACGTGGATGTTGATGGGGGTGGGGGCGATGTAAGGACGAAGAGGACAATATCGACCGAGGTGGTGATGATGGCGGTGGGGAAGGAGAAAGTCCTCCGTCCGCCTGCAGTGTTGTGCCGCCCGGCTCTCACCAGACGGCGGTCCTGTATAAGCCATGTCAGGCACGAGGCATGTGCAACAACGCTAAAGACACTCGACACCTGGCCCGAACGGGTCACTGTTTTGCTCGCTGCATGCTTTGCTTGCTGGTATTGGCGCCCAGTAGCTGCTCGTGAACTGGAACAATGTCTTGGCTCTGCGGTGAAACAATGCCCCCGTCGGTCGTGTCGAATAGCCTCGGTCTCCCATGCTCTCCCTTGACTCTCTCCCTCTCTCCCACCCTCGCTTTGCTGATAGATCCTTTTGTTCTCCTGCTCAGCAGCCATTTGTCATGACCATTAATCATAATGTGGCAAAAAAGCGTGTGTGTCGGACTGTACTTCAGCCACAGTGCCGTAGTTTACGTACTCAGGAAAGTATGCCGCCAAATTATGGCCAAGGGTTTGAAATGGTTGTCACCGTGGACGAGCCTGGGCGTCCGAATGACCTTAACTTTCTGATGGATCTCTTAAAACCAACGCCACACAATGCTCCTGGTCTGAGAGTCCCATGCATCCGACGTGGTCCATGGTGAGTATCGCCCGCTGCCAGCGGCTGGCAGTGGCGTCGCTCGTTGTCCCGTGACCCCGCCTCGCCTGGCTTCGGTGACCTGACCCGCCCGCACTCGCTGGCGGTGACCTGATCCGTCCACACCCCACCGGCAATGAGCTGACCCCGCATCGCCCGGCTTCGGTGACCTGACCCCGCTTCGTTCGGCTTCGGTGACCTGACCCCGCTTTGCCCAGCTTCGGTGACCCGGCCCCGCTTCGCCCGGCTTCAGTGACCTGACCCCGGTTCGCCCGGCTTCGGTGACCTGACCCCGCTTCGCCCGGCTTCGGTGACCCCGCTTCGCCCGGCTTCGGTGACCTGACCCCGCTTCGCCCGGCTTCAGTGACCTGACCCGGCCGCACCCGCCGGCGGTGACCGAACCCCGCTGCACCCTGCTCGCAGTGACCTGACCCCGCGCCGCCCCGCCGGCAGGTAACCACTATGGCACCCCGAAGCCGGCGACCGAGCCGAGCGCGGCGCGCCAGGCTGTGATCGGGGACGTGCTGCTGCCGGGCCGGCACCCGAACAGCGAGGGCAAGCGGCGCCGGAACCGCTCCAACGTCGAGGCCATGGCCGCCAAGAACACGGAGCCCGAGCCGCGCCCGCCGGGCCAGCAGGGTAAGGCACGCCGCAGCAAGGCAGGCTGACTGCTAGTCACCAGGGAAAGGTTTTTGGGGGTTTGGTTCGTGGGTTGCGGCTGGTCAGCAGGGTGCGCACCCGTGACGTCTGCATGCTAAGGGGAGAGGAGAGGTGTGAGACTGCCAAACAGGGTAAGGGGAACCGGGGGAGGCTTTCAGCCGGCTTCGCCAGGGGCTGTGAGGGAAGCACATAGCAAGCTGCCGAGGGGATCGGGTAGCAGGCGACGACGGCGCGTCAGACCGGCCAACTGTGTGAGGGATTGGCGGAAACATACAGTGCAGTGCAGAAAACATTCAGAAAAGATGCAGTGCGGAGCTCCCGCGCAGACATTGCACTCCTCTTGGCGGCGAATCTGGTGTGCAGTGTGTTCACCCGAGCTGTCCGCCGGGATTGACCCCCCCCCCCCCTCCCCCGTTCCGCCGTACCGCGCAGCTCCGCGGCAGTCTTACATCCCCGCTACGGTGATGGCCGCCGTACCGCGCAGCTCCGCGGCAGTCTAGCAACCCAGCCGTGGTGGTGACCGCCGTACCGCGCAGCTCTGCGGCGGTCTTACATCCCCGCCGTGGTGGTGGCCGCCGTACCGCGCAGCTCCGCGGCAGTCTAGCAACCCCGCCGCGGTGGTGGCCGCCGTACCGCGCAGCTCCGCGGCGGTCTTACATCCCCGCCGTGGTGGTGACCGCCATACCGCGCAGCTCCGCGGCGGTCTAGCAACCCAGCCGTGGTGGTGACCGCCGTACCGCGCAGCTCCGCGGCGGTCTTACATCCTCGCCGCGATGATGACTGCCGAGTGTCTGTCAGCCGAATCTCGGCTGTCGGCTGTCCGGGATCTCTGATGCGCTCAGGACGACTTGTGATAGGAGCTGACAGTGTATATGATGGCGATGTGTACGCCTGGCTGCAGGAAGGACTGAGCGTATATTTTGACGATGCGAATGAGTGACGATGAGCGACTCGATCTTGTTGTTTGATCGGGTGCTGCGCCGTTAACGGCGGAGGGCTGCGCCGGTGATTACGACGGTGACGTGGCCGTGTAAATGTTTACGCGACAAGTGCAACTCTGCTCCCGCTAAATGCGGATGTTTTGCTGAACGTGCTTTGTTTGAAATTGGAAGTTCAAACAGCGTTTTTGCTGAGAAGCAGTGCGTCGGTCGGTATGCTGACATCGCGCGTTTTTGTCGAGCGACCATTTCATCAGAATTTGTATATTTGTGTTACTTGCATGTATATTTGTGTTGTTTACAGCAGTGGCTTTAAGCATGACCTGGCTTTTCTATTATGGCTGTCTAAGTTGACTGTCGTGCCCGGATCGAAGTGTCGTCGCACTCGAAATGCTCTGTGTGACACGACCATTCCTCCACGCACTTGTGTGCGTGTGCGTCACGCTCTAGTCACTTCGCAACTCTGTTGCCGCCTGTTGTTGCCCTCCCCCCCCCCCCCCCCCCACTCCCCATGCAATCCTGCGCACGAGGTCGCCTGACCGCCGGCCCCTGCCCCCTCCCAGCGCCTAACTGCTGTGTATGTCACCCGGTCTGACCCGGCTCCCGGTCGGCAGTGCCCGAGTACCCGTCGGTGCCCCAGCACCTGACTGCTGTGTATGTCACCCGGTCTGACCCGGCTCCCGGTCGGCAGCGCCCGAGTACCCGTCGGTGCCCCAGCACCTGACTGCTGTGTATGTCACCCGGTCTGACCCGGCTCCCGGTCGGCAGCGCCCGAGTACCCGTCGGTGCCCCAGCGTCCGGACGGTCCGAGCATGAACGGCTCCGGCCACCAACCGGCCTGGAACGGCGGCGGCCCGGGCGCCGGGCTCGGCCCACTGCCCGACAACTGGGAGGAGGCCTTCACAGAGTACGGAGAGCCCTACTTCATCGAGTGAGTGGCCCGGTCCCGGCCGGCCCCCGCGTCGCGACAGGGGGTAGACAGCGGCGGTGGTAGTGCGGCGCTGGTGGGGGGTTTGCTCTCCGAGGAGGCGCCGGATGGAGCGGGGCGGAAGTGTGACCAGGTTAGACGCGGCTGGATCCGCAGTCTGGACAGTCCCGAGGCTCAGCGCCGGCCGCTGTCTGCTGGTCGCGGGACCGTCCCGCACCGTGCCGATTCTGACCACAGACAAGCGCTCGCTTTTGTATGCATGCACGGTTGGCAGCTGGCCGTCCCACCGTCCGTGAAAGAAGTGGCGCCAGGAAAACGTATGGGCCAGATGAACCTGATTAGAAAATCGCATTATCTCAGAAAAGAAAGCATCTATGCCTGTTCGGAGCTTGGCTGCTCCGATGCCAGTTTTTAGTGGCTTTATTTCACTGATTTCATACCTGCTCTCGTCCACTTGGTGCAAGACTGCTAGTCGGCTCCTGAAGCGATAAGAGTTGAATGTTTTCACGTCCTTTGCATTCAAAATATTACAGTTCGTGCAAGACTGATATTCGTCAGTTAGATATTTACGGTTAAAAGACGGGAAAGGTAAAGCCAGACTGAGGGGACGGGGGTAGCTCGGTTGGGAAAATGCTTGGCTTCCTCGTGGGAGTCGCGGGCTCCATTTCTAGTCGCCGCCACAGCCTCTGGGTGCTGTTGTGACTATTGCCGTCGCTGGCGCTCCATGAGGACGTTACACGGTGACATGCGCATCGCACCGCTTTAGAACAAAAATCTGGAACTGCGGCCGGACCCTGGATGGATCATGTGCTTTTGGCTTGCAGGAAAGAAGGCGTAGACAACTGAAAATGATATTGCTCTGAAAGACGTTGAGTGGAAAAACTGTGTTTCCGTGTATCCTTTAAATATGTTTTGCCTTTTTACCCGTAGCCGTGGCAGGTCAGAATTATGTCACCTCACGTAATGCCGATGACATTGTCTTATCATGTTGTACACATGCACGGTGATTACAAACGTTTCTCTCTCACGCGAAGGAAGACACATATTGCAGACTGTTTATGGGCCCCGTCGTTTGCTTGGTATGCATTCGCTGCACGAGAATGATCAGTTTCCTGATTTTATTATTATTTTGTATTGATTTATTTCAGCATTTCACGAATATAAACATAAATTGTCCCCTGAAACCACCTTTCTGGTGTCCTATGTGAGACAGGCATTAGCGAGGCTGTCACGCGTCGTGCTTCGCTGACATTGATCACCTCGCCGCCCACTCCAGCCACAGCACGGGCACGTCCCACTGGCTGGACCCGCGGCTGGCGCTCGTGCAGAAGAAGTCGCTCGAGGACTGCGACCTGAACGAGCTGCCCTACGGCTGGGAGCGCATCGACGATGCCACCTACGGCACCTACTACATCGACCACGTCAACCGGCGCACCCAGTACGAGAACCCCGTGCACGAGGCCAAGCGACTGCAGGAGCAAGGTGGGTGCCTCTGGAGGACGCCAGAAGGTGGGCGGCCGCGACAGCGGTGCCCGCGTTGTGCCTTAGTCGGCCCACAGTGCTCACGTTTATGGACGTGCATAGATGGCGTTGCTCTTGGGATGCTGGCTTTTGGTTTGGAAAGGTAGCCATTTGGGACGTTGGCGTTGGTATTGTTGTAGTCCGCCAACTGTAGGCAAGCAGCACGTTTGAAATGGGCAGCTCCTCTTTTGTCGATGTCTTTTGTCGATGTCTCGTTTCTGCTCGCGATCGCACCTGTGTAATGTATTCCACACGGCACCTACAGCACTCAGTTTGCGTGCTTCTGAATAGCTCTCCCCGTGCGCGTACGCCGCTCGTAGCCTATGTCGGGCCAGTCCGGCCTGCCGTCCCCCTCTGCTAGAGCCACGTCACCGCCCTTCTGACTGAGACTCTGTCGCCGCTGCGCAGCCGGGCAGCAGGAGCAGCCGGCGCAGGGCGGGCCGGCCGACCCCGCGTCCCGGCCGGGTCCGCCGCCCGAGCCGGAGCCGGCCCCCGAGCGTGGCTCGCTGCCGCCTCCGCGCGCCGGCGTCAACAGTGAGTGTGGTCACCGCCGCCGTCGCCGCCGCCGCTGCCGCCGTCGTCGCCGCTGTCTGTCCCCGAGGCGCGCGTGGAACGGCCCTCACGCTCTGCCCGTACCCCCGCCGCGGCCTGCGCTCGGCGTGGAGGCTTCAGCGTGCTTCGGCTAGGGTTTAATGTTCGCGTAAGGCTGACGGTTGTTGACAGTTGGTTTATTTGCTCTAGGAGTCGGCATATGCCAGTGATTGGATGATTGTCTCTGGATTGTTTGCGCTCCGCCGAAGGACTGGTGTTACATTGGAGCACCTTGGCGAAACTCTAAATGTGATTACTCGTTATATTGTTATTATTTTGATTTTCTTGTAAACTGGCTGCGGCAAATATGTTTTCATATCTAGCAGTATATCTTTTTGGATTTTTTCTATGCTGATCCGCTTTCCACCCAACTCGATTGCACTTTGCTTTGCGGACCGTTTTGTATGAACTCCAGTGTCTGCCACGGAAAACCTAACGGACTTGTGATTCCAGCTTTCCCGTTAGATGGTGCTGTATTGCGGTGTTGACGTTCGAACAGCTCTGAGCATTTTGAGCTGTCTGTCTCTTAGCTGTACGAGGGTTTGCGGTGACATGCCGCATTCACTTCTGGCAGTGATTTTCCTTCCCTGTAGACATAGCCCATATAGTGGTCTCTCCTTGGAAGTCGTTCGTCCCATAGGACTTGGTAACGACAGGAGGACGTGCCGCCAACGTGTTTTTGGACCTTGCAAAATGATGTGGGGCTCTCCAACTCCGGTGCTACCGCTGTGGGCCTGTGACATGTTCCTCGTCCTCGTCCTCGTCCTCATCCTCATCCTCGTCCTCGTCCTCGTCCTCGTCCTCTTCCTCATCCTCGTCGTCGGTTGTGACCGTCTTAACCAGCGGTGCCCTGCATGATCCGTGATCGAGGACTGTTCCCGCCCGTCCTGGCTCGCACCGGTGCTCGTCTCGTGTCCGCCGAGCGTTGTCTCCTGACCTGACCTGACCGTGACCTGCGCGCCTGTGACCCGCGTGAGCTGACCCCTAACCTGCACCGCAGACGGCCGTCCGTTCTTCACGCGCAGCCCGGACGAGCTGCGGGGCCTCATCATCCAGACGACGCTGCACAAGTCGTCGCGTGGACTCGGCTTCACCATCGTCGGCGGCGACGACGGTGACGAGGAGTTCCTCCAGATCAAATCCGTCGTGCCCAACGGCCCGGCCTGGCTGGACGGCAAGCTCAATACCGGTGGGTGGCGGCGGGCAGTGACAGTCGCTCTGGTGGGGGCGGGGGGGGGGGGGGGTAGGTGATGCGTCAGGACCGGTGGGTGACAGTGGGCAGTGACGGCCGATCTGGTGGGGGGGGAGGTGGTGATGCGTCAGGACCGGTGGGTGGCGGCGGGCAGTGACGGACGCTCTTATGAAGGGTAGGAGGTGCGTCAGGACCGGTGGGTGACGGCGGGCAGTGACGGCCGCTCTGGTGGTGGGGGGGGGGGGGGTAGGTGGTGCGTCAGGACCGGTGGGTGACGGCGGGCAGTGACGGCCGATTTGGTGGGGGGGGGGGGGAGGTAGGTGGTGCGTCAGGACCGTTGGGTGGCGGCGGGCAGTGACGGACGCTCTTATGAAGTAGGAGGTGCGTCAGGACCGGGAGGTGACGGCGGGCAGTGACGGCCGCGCTGGTGGTGGGGGGGGAGGTAGGTGGTGCGTAAGGACCGGTCGGGATGGCGGCGGGCAGGACGGACGCTTCTTAGAAGGGTAGAGGTGCCGTCAGGACGGTGGGCTGACGGGGGCAGTACGGCCGCTCTGGTGGTGGGGGGGGCGGGGGGGGCAGGTGGTGCGGTAGGACCGGTGGGTGGCGGCGGGCAGTGACGGTCGCTCTGGTGGGCGGTAGGTGGTGCGCTAGGCCTCGTGTCGGCCGAGGCCAGGAGATAACCTGACGGCGGGTTGTTTGGTGGTTGCTTGCTTGTTTGCTTGCCTGCTTTGCTTGGCTGGTCGGTGCTTGGTCGGTTGGCTAGTTGGTCTTCCTACGGTGTGATTGGAGCGCCGTGTGGGGTGCGAGGCAGGCTCTGATTCGGTCCGTTCATGTCCCCGCTGAGCGGATGTGCCCGGAGGTCTGAAGTTTGGTCTCGGTCTCGCTTGGTTCCGTGCCGCGGTCTTGTTGGGGTGTTGATTACCACCGAGTGCACTCTTACCTCTGACGTAGATGAACAGGCATCACTGGAGATGTCCCGCAAAGTGGAACCACACAACCCGTCACCCCAAATGTAACACGCGATTTGGCGTATTATTGCCAGTGCGAAGCCCGCGGTGTCACACACTGCACGGCCGTGTATGACGTAGCGCCGATCAGATCAGATCGTCTGACCTCGTCTGACCCGTCTGACCTCGTCCGCCTGGCCGTGTTACAGGTGACGTGCTGGTGTACGTCAACGGCCAGTGCGTGCTGGGCTACACGCACCAGGACATGGTGCACATGTTCCAGACGATCGGCGCCGGCGAGCTGGTGCAGCTGGAGGTGTGCCGCGGCTACCCGCTGCCCTTCGACCCGGACGACCCCAACACGGAGATCGTCACCACCATGGCCGTCTCGGCCGCCGGTCAGTGACGCGCGCCGACCTGACCGGATGAGACCCCCATGCCCGCCGGACAGGGCGGGATCCCCGCCAGCGCGGCGGGTCCGCTGGTGGAAGCGGTGTTGGGTTCGGGCGTGGGCCCGTGCTCCTGTCGGCCCCGTCGCTATGTGGTGGTTCATATACACTGGACTCCGAGCGCCTCGGGCGTTTCCTGCCGGTCCGTTCGTCGGTTTGGTTCGGTCCATCCCTGGCTCGCTTGTTGGACTGATGAGTGACATCCATGCAGCGCCAGCTGTTTGGATTGGCTCGCTAATGTCAGTGGGTTGCGTGCCACGGCATGCGGAGTGTTGGCAATGCCATCCATTCCGACGTATCCCTCCAACTGTTCGCAGTTCACACGCGATATAGATCTGTCAGTTGTCTATTCAGCAAGGATCGCGCCGCTTTCGTACCCATTTAGCGTCGTTCATGTCACGTGACTGGCCATTCAGCGGCGGCCGCCTCGCTCCCCCCCCCCCCTCACGTGACCCACAAAGGGGACCACCTGTGCGGACGGTGTCGTCGGCACGTGAGGCGCGCGGCCGCGGCCGCTCACCTGCACTCTGACACCCGGCCCGCCCGGCACCGTCGAACGTCGGCCCGGTCCGCGAAACACGACCGCTCACCTGCACTCTGACTCCCGGCCCGCCCGGCGCCGTCGAACGTCGGCCCGGGCCGCGAGACACGACCGCTCACCTGCACTCTGACTCCCGACCCGCCCGGCGCCGTCGAACGTCGGCCGCGGGCCGCGAGACACGACCGCTCACCTGCACTCTGACGCCCGGCCCACGCGGCCCGCCCGGCGCCGTCGAACGTCGGCCCGGGCCGCGAGGCACGACCGCTGCTGTCTGTCGGCTCGACTCGGCTCGGCTCGGCTCGGAGAGCTGTGGCTTGTCTCGGTCCTAGGCCGGGGGGCGGGACTCGGAGGCAGCCATCGTAACGTCGGAGGGATGCGGAGGCATCAGTCGCTGTGCGAGCCGGCCCCGTGCTTGGGCGGCAGGACACCTGAGCTCTGGAGTCGGGATGCGGGCGGCGCCTGTGCTCCTTCCTAAGCTGACTCTGTGAACCTGGTGGTGAAACCGGTGCTGATGCAGGTTGAAGACTAACGTCAAGAGTCCATTTATATTGTTGACCTTTGGTAGCGGCACGAAGGGATCAGTGTCGGTCTCCCGTTTCGCAAGTTAGGTCAAATTGCAGATTGTACTTTTCGATATCATCTTGCGCGCGGTTAGGAGACCATTTGTCGCACAGAACAGCCGAAGCAATCGGCCTATGGGACGGGACATCCGGCCAACCTCCAGCACAGTGTTTCTACCAGATCCTGTGCGTCGCGCCGCGCCTCCGCCTGTGTAAAACCCGCCATTGGATCGGATGAGATCCGGATCTCCCCGGGCCACGTCAGACCGTATTCTCACCGGATCCGCGCCGTCTCTCCGCCGGCGCGCCGGGCGCCGGGCGGCCGCCAGGCTGGCGTTTTGCGCGCCGCTCAGCCGGCTTGTCGGGTTTCCCGGCTGCTCCACATTGGTGGTAATCGGATCGGGCACGCGGCGCCAGGTATGCGCCGGCCCCGCCTCCCTCCGCCGCCGCTGTCGCCGCCGCCGCCGCCGCCGCCGCCCTGCGCAGTTCGCGGCGCTCAGCGGGGTGTGCGGCACAGAGGCGAGACGCTCGGGTCGAAGAGGCGGCGCGTGGACTGCGGTCTGACGTCAGTGAGGCACCTGGAAGCAAGAGAAGACCGCAAGGGCATCCCGTTGGCCGGCGCAGCGCCGCCAGTGGGGCGCTGATGAGCCGGTGGTAGACAAACGCGCTACTGGAGAAGTGACGCGACGGTAGCGTTCAAAGTGTTCAAGTGTTCAACATATCAAAGACACTGGTGGTGAGCAAGCGGCGCGCTGGCAGCGAGTAAGCGACTCACGGCGGGCAGCGGTGCGTTGCTGGTGAAGATTGCGGTGACCCGCTGGGTCGCCATGAGATGGTAACGGCGCCTGACCACCGCCGTCGCCGAGCGCCCGACCACCGCCGTCGCCGAGCGCCCCACCGCCGCGCCCGACGCCAGCCGTCGCCGAGCGCCCGACCAACGCCGTCGCCGAGCGCCCGACGCCAGCCGGAGTCGAGCCGCCACTTTCGCTGACGGGGTGGAAAGTTCGGCTGTGACTACTGTGGACGGAGTGGATAAGAGGCCGACGGTGTCGACTTTGGATAAAGTGGACTAGAGTTCGGTTGCGACCTCCGGGTGGAGTGGGCAACGGGCCGGCTTTGTGGACAGAGTGGACACGAGTGCGGTTGTGACCTCTGTGGACGGAGTGGGCAAGGGGCCGGCTGTGTGGACAGAGTAGACAATAGTTCGACTGTGATCTCTGTGGAGGGGGCGGACAGCGTGCGGTCTGGCGGAACCCACTGTGCCGGCCGGCGGCGAGCGCCCGTGGCTGGCGGCGCCATCACGCTGCGATGCTGACAAAGCTGGGTCGGCTGGCGCTAGGCCGATCGACGCAGGACGTCCAGTACGCGCTGGGCGGCGGCGGCGGCGGCGGCGGGGGCCAGCCGCCCGTGCTCAAGATCCGCGCCGCGCCCGGCGTGCGCACGCACGTCAAGTATGATGAGCGGCGCCACATCTGCCGCATCGTGCTGTGTGAGTGTCACCGGCGCGCCGGACCCGGCGGCTGCGATCGGAGCCGAACAGCGGAGAGGGGGCGGTAGGGGCGTCGCCAGACTCGCCGCGGCCGGGGTTCTGTCCCCGTCGTGGTCTGTCCAGACGCGGCTTGTAGGCTGCAGCGCGATCTCCACTGGCCACTTGAGCGTCTGTACACGTCCAGAAGTTTCGCCCGGGGAGTATGGGTGAACGTCCCAGGTGTTCACCTGGGAGAGGTGCTCTCCTGAACACGCTGCTGGTGTGCAACGTGATAGGCCAGCGCCGATGTCGCGGCGGTGTCGCTGCCTGACGACGCTTTGGCCGCGGGTGGCGGGTGTCGGCCCGCTCCGGTGACCGGTCCCCGTACCGAGCCAGGCACCGACCGGGCGCCGGGCGACAGTCCGCCAGCGGTGCTCGGGCGGCGGGCGCCGGTCCGCCAGTGGTCCTCGGCAGCGGGTGCTGGGGCCGTCGCCGGTCCTCGGGCGGCGGGTGCCGGTCCGCCAGCGGTGCTCGGGCGGCGGGCACCGGTCCGCCAGCGGCCAGCGTTGCTCGGCGGCGGGCACCGGTCTGCCAGCGTTGCTCGGGCGGCGGGTGCTGGGGCGTCGCCGGTGCTCGGGCGGCGGGTGCCGGTCCGCCAGTGGTCCTCGGGCGGCGGTTGCAGGTCCGCCAGCGGTGCTCGGGCGGCGGGCACCGGTCCGCCAGTGGTCCTCGGGCGGCTTGCGGGCCGTCGCCGGTGCTCGGGCGGCGGGCGCCGGTCCGCCAGCGGTGCTCGGGCGGCGGGCACCGGTCCGCCAGCGGCCAGCGTTGCTCGGGCGGCGGGCACCGGTCTGCCAGTGGTCCTCGGGCGGCGGGTGCCGGTCCGCCAGTGGTCCTCGGGCGGCGGGTGCCGGTCCGCCAGCGGTGCTCGGGCGGCGGGTGCCGGTCCGCCAGCGGTGCTCGGGCGGCGGGCACCGGTCCGCCAGTGGTCCTCGGGCAGCGGGTGCCGGTCCGCCAGTGGTCCTCGGGCAGCGGGTGCCGGTCCGCCCCGAGCCCTGTAGATCTCGGTGCGGGCCCAGTCTAACGGTCGACGTTCTCGTGTCTCCAGGCTGTGCTCCGGACGTGACCGCTGCGGTGTGGTCGGTGGTGAGGAAGGATCCGACCGGCTAATCACTCGTGGGGCGGAACACACGTGATCCAGGGGTGTTGGGGGGGGGGGGCTGTGTTGTGGTCCAAGCACCGGGACCTGCTGTTTGGAGGTGTGGTATCTAAGGAAAGGGTTTCTGCGAGTGGTGTGACGGCTGGCTATTTCGTATAGTAGTTTTATTTTCCGGCTTAACTCTCCAGTTGTGGTAACCACTTCTCCACCCACCACGCAGAAAAAAGGACAGTTGTTGGCCAGTTGTCTGCTGTTGTATAGTTGGCCGCGTCACAGTTGAGCTGCTCATCACATTCGGTATTGCACATGACATTACGTCTAGGTTACTTTGTCAATTTTTCGACAATAGTGAAAAACTTTATCCCTCTGGGCAACATTTCAGGAGCACCAATGTGAATGCAAGTGCTGATGTACGCGTTGTGACGATTTGGTGGGACTTTCTTACAATCCCGTGAGCACGTGTTGGCCCGCTCCCGATGTACTACGTATCACACCGCACGTTCATAAGCTCGTGCATGTCCACCACCGCCCTGTGTGGCGAATCTCGCCGCGTACCGCCGACCTCGCGGCGCACGCCGCAACCTTGACCGGCCGCTCCGCTTCTGGCAGACACCCAGCCGACGGACGCGTACCCGACCGGCGCCGGCGAGCGGCCGCGCTCGCCGCCCAACTCGGACGAGAGCATCAACACGTCCAAGTCGATGCCGGACCTGAGCGGGGCGGAGCGTCCGCCGGACGTACAGAGGCCCGGCTCGGCCGACCTGCTGTCGACAGGTGAGAGGCCCGGCTCGGCCGACCTGCTGTCAGGCGAGAGGCGTGGTCTGGGACGGCGCCGGCGGCGGGAGGCAGCCCTCTGCTGCCAAAGCTGAGCTGCCGGAGCGGAGGGGCGCCCCGTCCCACAGCGGGTGTGCGGCTCTGTCCCGGATTCGGAGCGAAGGGGTAGATTAAGACATTGGCCGCGAGAGGGCGGAGTGTTGAATTTATGATGCTTGGTGCTCACCGCTTCGTAGCAGATGTAAAGTGTGGCATAGCGGCGTCTCGATAGGCAAAGTGAAGCACGAGTTGAGTGAGGCCTGTCAGCTGCCGTTGTGCTGTGGGTCGAACACGCATCTCTACATCATCACCCCACACTCCCCAGCTGAGCGCGTGGCCGCCACAAAAACCGAACCCCGATTACTGGCCTGGCGTGAATGCGACACGTCCCGGCCGCATGATTGCACTGGCGATTGCACGATTGCACGATTGCATTGCACTGGCGATTGATTGCACGATTCTACGTCGTTGAGCGCGGGCCTGTTGTGTGCATTCTCGCGCGCTCGTGTTACCGCCGCGTGACGCTGATCCAGTGACGGCGCGGCCGGCTGGAGCGTGCGGCGTGCTGCCTGCGGCCGCCGGTCCGGTGCGGTGTTACGTTGTGTCTGTGACGTCGGACCTGGCCAGCGGCGCAGAGATTTCTGATCTGTAGCGCTCTCGACTTCGATGGACATGATATTGCAGGGGCGATCTCCCAAAGCTATTTCGTAAAGACACGGTGTTACTTCAGCTAAAGATTTTCCTGCATTGTGTTCCTGCTGCACACGTACAGCTGTCAGGAATGCCGCGGGCGCCGCAGCGCGGCTTTATAGTGCGAATTTGTTTGCTGTGGGTTTACCGACCAGTTCGAGACTCGTGGTACATCTGTTAAAATTGTCTTTACTTGGTGCGTGTGGTCGTAGCTAGAACTGGTTTGATAGATTTCGACGGCAATGACCATACCATTTACATGTTGCATAAGGTACTGGGAAAGGTTTCCTGGCCATTTTACCGCTCCCTTTCCTCTGATGACCTCATGCTGCGACGTCACCTTCTATCCAGGACTGTCGATGACGACAAGGTGTGATGTCACTGCCGCTCCCCTGACTGTCTGTGTGACGTCAGCAGAGAACGTGCCGCCGACGGCGCCGAAGCCGCGCTTCCTGACGGTGCCCATCGTCAAGGGCGACTCGGGGTTCGGCTTCACCATCGCCGACTCGGCCTACGGCCAGAAGGTGAAGAAGATCCTGGACCGCAGCCGCTGCACCGAGCTGCAGGAGGGCGACATCCTGGTGGAGATCAACAACGTGCACGTCAAGGCCATGCCGCACGCTGACGTGGTCCAGGTGCGACGGGCGCGAGGGCGGCCGGACGGCACGCACAGGGGTGGCGCGGGGTTCGGTGGCGTGGGCCGGGTTCGTGGACGGTGTGGGTGGGATGCTTGACCCGGATGATGCGCGATCGGTGCCCGCAGTGGTAACGCGGGGATGACGTCGGTCGGTTTAGTTTCATCGTACTGTTGGAAGAAGATTCTACGTGTGGGGTAGGACACGTTCGCTTCTGGTATCTTCATATCGGTTGGGAGGAATATCACCGCGACAGTGGCTTGATCGCGCATCGGATTGAGCTCGGAACGATCAGCGCGCTGCAGTTGCTCGCGATGCAAAACACTTGCCCGTTACCTGCAGCATCAGGTAGCGGGCTTTGTGTCGCAGTAAGCTTCTGTGTCACTGCGCACCGGCCTCATCCAGAGATACCTTTGAAATCATACGACATCTTGTCCTCTCTGTCACGTTCGTCAACCTTAATTACTGATCTGGACTGGTATGTGATATCCGCTGTGGTCAATAGCAATGCTTGTGCATGAATTGGTCGCTCTGACATTTTTTGCATCAGTCACTGGCTACGGAATCAGTCGGGAAACGTATCCATCTGTGTTGTGCCGACGCTTCCTGTGGAGACGATACGCACCTGAACTGCGCCCTACTATCGTCTGTCGTCTGCTCCGCCACGGCTCGCTGTTGACGGCTGGCCGGCCGCTCGGCAGGTGCTGAAGGACTGCCCGGTGGAGCGGGAGGCGACCGTGACAGTGCAGCGGGGCGGCTCGCACTCGCCCACCAAGCCCAAGACCAAGCGCAAGGAGGAGACGGCACGCCGGCCGCCGCTCTCCGGCCAGTACCGCAGCAAGACGCCCACCGCCGAGCTGTACAGCACCCAGCCCAAGGAGGTGATGCCCAGCCGGCCCAAGACGCCGCTGGTCGACACGCGCCGCGCCAAGACGCCTTCGTACGGCCAGCTGCCGGGCCCGCCGCCGGCCGGCGCCGACGCGCGGCTGGCGCTGGACGGCCGCGCCGGCCCGGCCGGCCCCGAGCTGCGCTACACCGCCGAGCCGGACGGCCGTGCGTTCAGCTATGACCGGCCGAACGGGCCGGCGCGGCCCGAGCTGGCGGCGCAGTTCGGCCGGCTCGGGCTGCACGCCAGCTTCGACGAACGTGACGCGGAGCCGCGCGGCTACGGCGCGGCACCGCCCGGCTACGGCGGGGCACCGCCCGGCTACGGCGCCGCCCCGCCCGGCTACCACGCCGCCCCGCCCGGCTACGGCGCCGCGCCGCCCGGCCGGCCATACGGCGGCGCGCCGTTCGCGCCCGAGGGCTACTACAGCGAGCAGGGGGCCGGCCGGGCCGCCGACGCGTCGTTCGAGCAGTACGCGGCCGAGGGCGTGCCGTACGGCCAGTACCGGCCGGCCGAGCCGGCGCCCGGCCGGCGCAAGCAGAGCACCAGCTTCGAGCACGAGCAGCCGGCGCCGGCGGCGGTCACGCGCGCCGCCCGCCCGGCCGGCACGCACCAGTACCTGGAGATGGCCGTCGCGCTGATGCGGCACCAGTCCGGCTTCGGCTTCCGCATCGTCGGCGGCACCGAGGAGGGCTCTCAGGTAAGAGACCGGCACAGAGTGTGGCCTCCAGACAAACAAGTTTCATGGGGGTTTAATGGTGACGCAAGATGTTGCCGCAAAGCATGTGGGAGATAAATTGCTGCTCATTTGACAGCTACCTGTTTTGAATCGAGGGTGCACATAACGTTATGAACGGTCGGTCACAGAACATGTGCGATACAGGCCTTGTTTGATATGGTATAAGAAACATGGCCTTTAATTTAACAAGTCGTCTCAAGCCAGGTCTCCCAGTCGTTACCTTTTTCAACGGACATATATGCCACAGTTCACGATGCATCCATACACCCTCATAGGCATATTAACCGCAAACTCACCGCGCACGAGCGACCAGATCGGCTCTTACTCATTTATATATATATATATATATATATATATATATATATATATATGCTGATTTGTATCCTTTGTAGAGCCCTGCCACCCATGTCGAATGGGACCCAAAGGTTGACATGCCTTCCCCCCCCCCACCCCCAATGTTGTTGGCTGCAATATTACAAAATGGTAGGGAGGCTAGCTTTCACAGAGAGACCGTCTTCTTTGGTTGTTGTCTGCTGGTCGTGACTTTTGTAATGCTCCAATAAAACACTATGCAATATGTGATGCAAAACATAGAAATGGAAGCTGGCGTTCGTCAGAATAAAGTGGGTTAACTCCATTGCGAAGCGCACTCACCCTCAGCTCTCATGTTTGTGTGCTCACCCGGTCCGATCCTAGCGTGGCCTCTGCGCTTGGTGTCACCGGGGCCGCGCTCCCCGTTGACGGCCTGGACGTGGTCGTCGCGGCAGGTGTCGATCGGGCACATCGTGCCGGGCGGCGCGGCGGACGTGGACGGTCGGCTGCAGTCCGGCGACGAGATCATCTACGTGGACGGCCAGCTGGTGATCGGCTCGTCGCACCACCACGCCGTCCAGCTGATGAGCCAGGCGTCCAGCAACGGCCGCGTCCAGGTGAGCGGGCGCCCCGCGCCGACGGAGCCAGAGTTCAGAGCAGGGGCGCTTCCAGGGCGGAGTCGGCTCCCTCAGGCCTGCATGTTTCATGTTAGCAATGTGGAGCGCTCCTGGCGTCAAGTTTATAATAAGCGTACACCTAGATAATGTTGTCAGCAATGGACCATGTTAGAACAATATAGTGATATTTAATCAGTAGGCTCTTCATGGGTCCGTAAAGCAACCCTCAGTCACTTCGCGCGTTATCTAGCCGGGTCTGGGCCCTACGCCGACCCACCCGCCAAACAGCAGCGAACACCTCACCCCGTGTGGGCCGACCGATGCCCCAGTCCATGCCCGTGATCGCGCCTGTTCCGCCGCCCTCCGCCCCTGCTGACGGCGCGCGCGCCTCCTGACAGCTGGGCATCCGACGGCGGCTGGCGCGGCACGACGCCCTCAACCGCAGCCAGGAGCAGCCGCCCTACGAAGTGACGGTGACGCGGCGCGAGGGCGAGGGCTTCGGCTTCGTCATCATCTCGTCGGTGAGCCGGTCGGGCTCGACGATCGGACGCCTGATCGACGGCAGTCCGGCGCAGCGCTGCGGCCAGCTGCACGTCGGCGACCGTATCCTGGCGGTGAACGGGGTCGACATCGGCGGCCTGCATCACGGTCAGATCGTGACGCTGATCAAGGAGAGCGGCTACCGCTGCGTGCTCACCGTCGGGCCGCCGCTCGACGACTCGTCCAGCACCGCCTCCACGTCGCAGAAGGTGTGTGGTGGGGGCGCGCGGCGGGGCGGGGCACGGCGTGGGGGTGTGTGGCCGCTGGCCGCTGACGAGGGGTGGGGGCGCCCAGGTGTTTGTAAGTTATCGGTGGCATCAGAATCAGCCCGCTTGTGGTTTAGTATTTAATCGGAAAGACTCCAGTCACCCCTCCCCATTTGTGAAACAAAAATGAGTTGAATCCGTGGAGGAATGTGGTCCGCCTGAAAGTGGGGTTGGATTAAGACATTTTCACCCGGATCCCCCCCCCCCGGATCCCCCCCCTTTCCTCCCCGTCCATCCCAAGTGACCTTTGCAACATTACGCCCGTGTTGTCAGCGTGGTTGTGCGTTGGAGTAGCTGGTCCGTAAAGGTGTTCCACCGCTGCGAATAAGGAAGCCGTGATGGCTTGTTCACAATCGCGCACCATTGTGCTCTGAGTGGCCAGGAGTGGTTGTGAGCTGTTGGTGGCGGGCGGGTGCCTACCTGTGGCTCGGTCCCGGTGTCGGCTGTGTCATGTGTCGTGTAACCTAACCCCTGCCATTTTGCGCCACACCCAGGGTGACGTGGCGCAGGGTCCGGGCCACGTGACCTCGTCGCTGGGCCGTGACGTGACGCCTGACCGTGACCTGTCCTCCCGGGACGTGACGTTTGACGCAGACGAGAGTCTCCAGTATCCACACAGGTACATGACGTCATCGGCGCCGTGGGAGACGGCGGTGTGATTGCGTGCGCCGTCGTTGGCGGTGCTCATTTGCACAGAGTTTGTGTCAAACCTTTGGGTGTTTTGCGCGGCTTGCTGGAGGTGGCATACATTTTGTTTCGCTTCATTATTTCCATTTCGTGGTGCTCTGAAATTTGAACTCGGCTTCGGAAGTAGAAGAGAATGTAAGATCTAGCAAAGCCCTGCTTGATGATATCATGCTTTAAAGTTATTTCATCTCTGGACTGTGTAAGTGCGTAACCCGCCGGCTTGTTGGATGACATGACTGACCTTGGGCCTTCTGACGACCCCAGGCGAGACGGCGACCCGACCTGGACCGGGGACAGACGCGTGACCTACCCCTGGCCCGCCGAGGTCAGTGTCAGTGTGGAGGTCAAAGGTCGAGGCGCGTCCGGCACCGCCCTGTCTGTGTGGTGCAGGCGGTGGCAGCCTAGCAGTGTGTGGTGCTGGTGAACACGAAATCTGCCTGTTTTGTATCTACTGTGGATTTGCGCTGGCAGCTGCTGTCTGCACTCTTGTGTGACGTTTGTCCTGGTGTCCCCGAGAGCGAGTTAAGGCGCTTTCCGACTGGCGCTGCCCTTGCGTAAGTCGACTCTTGCCGTTCTGCTGTTGCTAAGGTTTCACGCTGGGTGATTAAGTACTGGTGACGCTTTTGTGAGGACGGCCTGATGCTACAGAAGCGTAACTTTCGAAGGTAACGAGCTGTGGAAAGAACGCGATGGAGGCAGGCGTTTGTCATCAGTTGTGGTCGGGTGTCTCACTCCCGGCGAGTTTTGTACTCGGGCGTGTGAAACAAGCCCCACAGCGCTGGCCTGCGCCGGCTCACAGCATGGCTGCGGGCCGGCGCGTGCAGCCCCCCCCCCCCCCCCGGCCTCCCCTTACCGGTTACCTCAGACTGGTCTCCGCCGCCCCGGCCTCCCCTTACCGGTTACCTCAGACTGGTCTCCGACTCCCCGGCCTCCCCTTACCGGTTACCTCAGACTGGTCTCCGCCGCCCCGGCCTCCCCTTACCGGTTACCTCAGACTGGTCTCTGCCGCCCCGGCCTCCCCTTACCGGTTACCTCAGACTGGTCTCCGCCGCCCCGGCCTCCCCTTACCGGTTACCTCAGACTGGTCTCCGCCTCCCCGGCCTCCCCTTACCGGTTACCTCAGACCCGTCTCTGCCGCCCCGGCCTCCCCTTACCGGTTACCTCAGACTGGTCCCCGCCGCCCCGGCCTCCCCTTACCGGTTACCTCAGACCCGTCTCCGCCGCCCCGGCCTCCCCTTACCGGTTACCTCAGACCCGTCTCCGCCGCCCCGGCCTCCCCTGACCGCTGACTGGTCTCCGCCGCGCCGCAGGGCGAGGACTATCCGATGGAGGGCGGCGGGCGGCGGCGGCGGCGGCGGCGAGGACGAGTTCCACGCGATCGAGCTGAGCCGCGGCTATCGCGGCTTCGGCTTCTCGATCCGCGGCGGCCGCGAGTTCCACAACATGCCGCTGTTCGTGCTGCGCATCGCCGAGGCGGGCCCGGCCGCGCAGGACGGCCGCCTCAGGGTAGGTGGCGGCGCCGACCTCTGGCGGCTGGTGGCGCTGGCCTGTGATGGTGTGTGGGCTGACCTCAGATCGGTGGGACGCTCGCCTCAGCGATATCTGGGAGGTGCTACCGCTGACTTATACCAGGTGTCGCCGCTGGTCTCTGGAGGCATCACCATCTCACTCAGTGCGTCCACATTGTCGCCGTTTTTTGCACTGTAAGCGCGTGATGCGGAAACAGCCCAAGTTTGCTTCAGTTTGTCTTATTTCGTTCATTAATGAGGCTCTAAAATGTAGTGGTTTGCAATCAGCATATGGATGCGGCTTATTCGTACGGGGCGCAGCGTTAAGACCCGGCAATATAGATTCGCTGTATGACAATGTCTGCCGTACGCCGTCAGCCAGCGTGGTCTAAACCACTGACAACCCAGTGATTATCTTCCCGGAGATGGGCTGTGGGCGCCATATGACCAGGGCGGGCGGCGTGCCCTTAAGGCCAAACGATCATCATGGCACTGGGCACAGTCTGGAACGCGTGGCGTTAGTTCGCTCTCCAGCTAGTGGCATCAAGCAGGAACCCCCGTCATCTGACGCACGTCTTGTGGCTTCCAGGTGGGCGATCAGATAATCGAGATTAACCAGGTGAACACGAAGAACATGACTCACGGCGAGGCGATCGAGCTGATCAAGCAGGGCGGTGCCGTGGTGCGCCTGCTCATCAGACGCGGCGGCCGGATACCACAGGTGAGATCCGCTAGTGGCCGTGGCGAACGGCGCGGACACGCCCACCTGCCGCCCGAGCGTCCGATTGGCTTCGGTGATGAAGGCGGCGATCGTGATGCTTCGTGAGCGGGGACAGCCGCTTCGTGAGCGGGAACGGACGCTTCGTGAGCGAGGACAGCCGCTTCGTGAGCGAGGACAGAAGCTTCGTGAGCGAGGACAGCCTCGCAAGGTCGCAAGTCGCAGGACAACCTCGCAACAGTTTATGTTGCGAGGGCCGTCATCTCGAGCTGGTCCTGCTAATGCGATTGCCCAATCTGTCATTGACCTGACTTCTCGCACAGTGACCGCCCCTGCCCTGTGTGCTCTCGAGGATGCTGCTCGTGATTTCTGCCCCTCTCCCACCCAACGTCCTCGCTTCGGCTTGTGCTGCCGCACGGCGGCCGCCCTTGACCCGCGCTCCCACCCGGCGCCGACGCCGCCAGCTGACAGTCTCACCGCGCCGCCGCCAGGTGATCATGGAGCAGGCGGCGGCGGCGCCGCTGACGCCCACCTCGCTGGGGCCGGCCGGCCGCTCCTCCTCGTCGCTCTCGCAGCCGTACCCGCCGTCGTTCTTCCCGCCGTCGCCGCAGCTGTACCACCCGCAGCGCGGCGGCTACCCGGCGGCCAACGGGCCCGCGCCGCGCGGCCCGCTGACCAATGGTGACGTGTCCGGCTACGAGGGCCACGCCTACTGGAGCCGGCAGGCCAACTTGTAGCGTCCCGGCGCTCGCGCAGAGCGGCGACGGCTGCGCGCGCCGGCCTGCGCACGCTCGCCTGGCGCTTCGGTTTGTTCGTGAAGTGTTTGTTTGTTTGTGTCGAGTGGGCGCGATGCGGCGGCCCGGTGCGCGGATGTTGGCCACTTGTGTTTGCTCGGAAAAGACAATCAGTTATCTCCTGATCTGCTTGCGGACGGTGCCTTACAAAGAACCCCAGCTTTGGAGTCGGTCTCCGACCTACGGTGCGCAACAAAATGTAAATAGTAGGCTAGACTCGTTACATCCAAGCATTGTACAAAGTGCATGATCAATGTTTATGTGAAGCACTAATAAAGTACTGGTATTTTGCGCCGACTGTGCTGACCGTGGAGTAAGCAGGAGAAGGCCAGCATGTTCACCGCAGCTTGGCAATCGACATGTCGGACATTGCTTTATCATCCGAAGGCCTTGCTGGTGATGTTTTGGTGTCATGATTGGCAGCTGCACTGCACTACCGTTTTGGGCGGTTGCTGATTTGGGCCGTTGGTAATCGGTATCCACTTATGATGAGGATGGTTCAAAGACAGGAACTTTTACATCTGTACGCAGGCTCCCTTGAAATGTCCGTCCTTATTCGTTAAATTGCCGGCTCAAAAGGTGATTACCCTGGGTGGCGATAAGTGTTGTGGTTCTGCGTTAACCACTGCGCGTCTGGGAAACCAGACGCACGAAAACTCGATTCCCTGTGGTACCCGCCCTTCCTGGCAGGGTGAGAGGCGGGCGACGCCATATAGACTCAGCGGCTGAGTGTGTCGTAAGCCCCCATGACGACGGCCACTCCCTGTGCCGAAGGCCAGGTGATGCGGTGGGAATGAACCCGTGCCAGCCCACGCCGCTCAACCCAGGGGCGGCCATCTCTGGATGGAACTGTCCAGTGCCATGCCAAGCTCAACCGTATGCCGCCTGACATACCGCACATGAACACGGCACGCCATCTGGCGTCTGGAGGCCGGCCGTGGCAAGCGACGCCTCCTGTTGGTGCAGATGACACGACCGGCGAGGACAGTAACCAGCGGGCGCGAGCAGCGGGCGGCACCCGCGTCCCGCACAGGACGCCTCGCAGCGGTGCTGCGGCGCAGTAGGCTGCGGGCTCGGAGGACCACCAGATTCGCGTTTGAGGACCTTTGTGCGCGCATCTGGGTTTGTTCCACTTAAAGGCAGCCGCGTCCTCCCAGTAACTCGGCACCGCACGCGGGGGCGGATCGAATAGATTTGTCCGCCGGGACTCCGCTCCGGACCGCTCGAACTCATCCAGCGCACAATTCAACCGGCCCTGGAGCCGGGTGCCGCAGATGGGGGAGCCGCAGGTACCAGGCGTCGGCTCACCCCGACCGCTACCGTCCGCCGCTGTGGAGCCGGACGCCCCTGAGCTCGCGGACGTGAGAGGGAGGGGCACGCAAGGAGTCATGAGCACCATCGTGGCACCATCAGCGACGTCCCCGTGTTCCGTTACACGACGCGTTCATTTGACCCACTTCTTTCCGGAAACAAGTCACAGAGCTACATTCGCAGTAGGTATTGCGGAGCGAAGGTTTATTACCAAAGTTATGTGCCGACATTCAAAGCACAAAATCACATAGAAATGTATCACACGAACAGATACATGAATTATAATACACGATGCCACACGTAGGTAATCTCTCAAAAATGAAGGATGAAAACATTACAAAACGATGTCAAACGGTGAGAACTCAAACAATACTTGGGCGCCTAATCTCGTGTGGTGGCTGCGTGCGGCGCCGCCTTCCGACGCTACAGTAACGCTGGCCCCCAGCCGCCGGCCACTGGCGCGGCCCGTAAGCTCAAACTAGGGTACGGGCACATTTGTGGGGAGGGAGGGGGAGCTGCTACAAGGTACATGCACACACCAAAACCGGTGACGGGCGGGGTCTTCCACACACGCATGCGCGCGCGCGCGCGCACCGCGCGTAGCAGCGGGCGATGAAAGACGGGCCTCAGGGCAGCCGCAGCCTCGGCTGGGGCCGGCTGACGTGGGGTCCTGAGCAAATCAACATCGAACAGAGCTGAACACGCCTCGCGCCCAGCGCGCCGCCAACACACCAACACATGCAGAGTTAAAACACACTGAGATCACGTACAGAGGAATCAGGTCAGATCCAGCGGGGCACACGCACTACCGTAAGTTATCACATCTAGTCTGCTGGGGGGCCGTCGGGGCGCGGGCGGCGGCGGCGGCGCGCGCTACCTCCGCCCGCCGCCGCCGCCGCCTGATTGTCTGAGGTCGGTGCGACGCTCCGAGCGGCGCCGCTTGCTGGCCGGGCCTGTGTCCGGCGGCGGCGCGCCCGCGGGCCGCCGCCGCGCCGGCAGCGCGCCGTTCTGCCGCCGCGCGCCCGACGCGTCGGCCTGGCCCGCCTTGGGCGCGGCGGGGACGCGACCGCCGTCGGGTGCGGCGCCGCCGGGCAGGCCGTCGACCGCTGCTGCTGACCGACTCCGGGGCCGGGTGACGTCCGTCGCTGCCGCGCGACTGCTGGAGCGCGAGGGGACCTCCGCCCGGCTGCCCGGTCGAGCCGCCGCCGCCGCCGCCGCCCGAGGCGTCTTGGTCGTCTGTCGGAGCGAGTGTCGAGCGGCGGCCAGGCCCGGCGACGGCCGCTGGCGGCCGGACGCCGGCGCCGCATCGGCGCGCGGGGACGGCACGCGCGCCAGCGCCTGCGCCGGACTCCGCTCGGCCGAGGCCAGCCGGCCCGGCGGCGAGCCGCCGCCGCCGTCAGCCGGCCGAGCGGGCGATGTCGACCGCCGTCCCGCGCCAACGCTCTTGTCATCGTCCGAGAGCGGTGAACTCCTCGGCTGCTCGGCCGCGTCCCCGGCGGAACCCGCACCGGTCTCTGGCGACAGTCGCTGGGAAGCCCGCCGCGCCGGCGACCGCACTACGCTCTCGCCGCCGTCCGAGCCTGGCGACAGCCGCTGAGACGAGCGGCGCACAGATTCGCCGTCTCCTTTGTCTTCGGTCACCCCCGAGAGCCGCTTGGAAGCTCGCCGTGCTGGCGACCGCTCGCTGCCGCCGTTATTCCCGGTCTCCCCGGACAGCCGCTGCGACGTTCGCCGCGCCGGTGACTGCTCGCTGTCAACCTTGCGTGCTGCCTCTCCGGGAAGCCGATGGGAAGCGTTCCGCGCAGGCGACTGTCCGGCGTCTTCCCCGCGTGCGGCCTCTCCAGACAGTCGCTGGGAGGTGCGGCGCGCGGGCGACTGCTCCCGATCTTCGTCTTCCCTGGGCGCCGTTGCCGATGCGACCCTGCTGCCGACCAGCGAGGCGGGTTGGATGCGGATCGGCTGGGTCGGCTGGCTGGCCTTGGCTCGCGCCGGCGACGGCGGAGAGGCTGGCGGGCTGCCGGGCGCGCCGGCGCCGGCGCGGCTGGCCGGCGCCGCCGCGTCCTCAGCGCGCAGCCGATTCAGGTGGACGCGCGGAGAGTCGCAGGCCTCCAGCAGGTCGGATGCGGGCGGAGAGGGAGCGGTCGTCGGGAGCGGCGCCAGCGGCGGCGAGGCGCCGTCGGCCGGCGGCGAGGCGCCGTCAGCCCGCGCTGTGGCGCCACACACAAGCGCGGCGCCGCTTGGTACGCTGCACTTGCCCGTGGCGAGTGGCGTCCAACCGCTGGCCAGCCGGGCGCCCGACTCGATCCTGGCGCCGCCGCCGACAGTCGCATCACTCTCATTAACAGGGCTCTTCGCCTTCCCGTCCCGCTTCTCCTTCTTCTTCTTCTTGGCAGCGTTGGTCTTAGCCAGCCGCTGCCTCTGCTGAGACGGCGCCAGCGACTTGGCGGCCGAGATCGGCGCCTCCTCCTCCTGGAACGGGTCGGCCGGCGGGGCCGCGAACAAGCCGGCGTCAGCAGTCGGCTGACGGGCCAGCTCCATGTTCTCCGTCTCACTCTCGTGGCCCGACTCGGCGCCGGCCGGTTCGCGGTCACGTTCGGCCGTCAGCTTGGCCAGGCCGGGCTTGGTGCGCTCGCCGGCCGGCCGGCGGCGGGCGCGACGCGGGGGGCCGGCGGCGCGCGCGCGACCAGAGCTCTTCTGCAGCTCGGCAGCCACCTCCAGCACGTCAGCCAGCTTGCCAGCCACGCCAGCCGCCACCACCTGCCGGTTGCTGATGGTGCGCAGCGGCTTGCTGGCCAGCCGTTTGGGGCCGGCGGCGATGGCCTCGTGGCGCCAGGCCGCCTCGACGGCCAGCTCGGCGCGGCCGCCGGCCGCCGGGCGCGGCTCGCGCGGCGCCAGCAGCGGCTCGCCGCCGTCCTCCAGATCCGTCCAGAGGCAGTCGGCGTCGGACGCGCGGCCAGTTAGCGCGCCATAGACTAGCTCCCCCGGCGGCGCGTCGTCCAGCGTCTCGCTGGCGGCGGCCGGGCCGCGCGGCAGCGCCGGGTAGGCGCGCAGGCCGGCCGCCGGCCCGCCGGAGCCCGACGACAGCACGCCCGTGATCACGTGTACCGACGACTGGCTGAGCAGCGGCGTTGGCGGGCCGGAGCCCTCCGACCCGCCCGAGCCGCCGCCGTCGGCGTCGTGGCCCGGTCGGCAGCCGTCCAGCAGCCGCTCGTCTCCGTTGGTGCCGCCGTCGGCCTCCTCCTCGTCGTCGTCCTCCTCCTGCCGACGCTGCTGCTCCTTCTGCTCCTGCAGATGTTGTTGCTGTTGTTGCTGCTGTTGCTGTTGCTGTTGTTGCTGCTGCTGTTGCTGTTGCTGCTGTGGCGACAGCTCTTCGCCGGTGGACAGGCAGGACTGCAGCTGCTCGGTGAAGAAGGACGCCTGCGGGATGTGCACGTCCTCGTTGCCTGTAACAGGGGCAAGGGGAGTCGTAAGGCCCGTGCCAGCGAGGCTCGCACCACCCGCAAACGCCATAGTGGTGTTGGTGGCACGCCATACAAATGAACGCCACACGGGAGGCAGCGGGCCCGCTCGGAAAACGTGTCTTGCCATCCATATTGTCACAAACCGGCTGTGTGATACACAGCTGGGACAAAAGCCGAAATTTGAACAGAAACTTTAAATAAGTGCAAATGTCTGGTTAACTATTAGGGGCCTGGGATGTTTGGGAAGTCCGATTAATGGTAATATGATTGCATTTGCTGTATGATCTTCGTCCAAGTAACTCTTTCCAATGAACCACATGGGTTAAATAAAACGGCATTAATGGGTTGGGTATGAGTTAACATCTTTCCTTCCTCCACCTGACCTAGAACTACTGATAACAGGTCAAGCTGGCCGAAACAGTACACATGTTCAAGGTCCAAATCTACGCATCGAAATTAAATCGCGGCTGCGACTCAGCCATGCTCAAAACAACCCATGGCAACCCCCATCTCCTCGCATATATCGCGACTGACAGTCTCGGCAACAGACTAGCATCGTATCATGTGCACATATGCTACAAATAAAGATCTCCGTACAACTCACTATTCTCACTCTGCTGAGATTCGGAGGAGACCTCGCCTCCAGAGAGTTTGACGCTGGCGGCCAGCAGCTGCTCTTCACTCGGCTTCTCGTCCTGCTGCTCGTCCTGCAGCTGTGGCGGCTGATGTGAGGGCTGCTGCTGCTGCTGCTGCTGCGAGGGCTGCTGCTGCTGCTGCACCTGCTGCTGCAGGGGCTGGGACTGCTGCTGCGGGGGCTGGGACTGCTGCTGCAGCTGCTGCGGCTGTTGCTGCTGCTGCGGCGGCGGCGGCGGCGGGGCCGGCTCAGGCTGCCGCTCCTGCTTGACGTGCGCCGCCTGCTGCCAGCCGGCGGCGGCCGCCGCGCTGGTCGGCGTGTCCGGCGCCAGCGTGTGGAAGGGCGGCAGCAGCGTGCCGAGCGCGGCCGGCGGCTGGCCTATCAGCGGCTGCTGGCCGGGCCGCGCCGACAGCGTCTGCAGCAGGTGCGAGTGGCTGGCCGACGTTACCAGACGCACCACGCGCACTGTATGGTACGGCTGCGTCAGCGGCACCGACGGCTGCGGCGTCGGAGCCGGCGCCGGCGGGGGCGGCGGCGGCGGCGGCGGCGGCGCCGCCGGGCCCGGCGATTCGGCCACGGCCGCCGGGCTGGCGCCCACCTCGCCCAGCAACGGCGCCTCGGCGCTGCTGTGGTCCGCATACTCGTCGCCCGCCGACGCCTGCGACGTCACCGGCTTGGGGCTGGCGGCGGCTCTGGGCAGCGCGTCCTCCTCCACGGAGAGCGAGGAGGCAGAGGCGGTGCCGCCCACCACCGTCTCCACCTTCTTGCTGGGCGACTTCTTCTTGCTCTTGCTGGCGCCGTCGCCGCCGCCGCGGGAGGTGTACACAGGCGGGTTCTTGCGGTTGCGTGGCGCCGGCGTCGGCGTAGGGTTACAAGCCAGGTCCTGTTGGTACTGCTGCAGGATGGCGGCGATGCGCTGGCGCGTCTGGTCGTCCTCCAGCTCCTGCTTCACCGGCGACGGCTTCACCAGCGGCGGCGTCACCATCGGCTTCGGTTTCTGCGCCGTCACGGCCGTCTTCACCTTCTGCGCCATCGGCTTGGGTTTGGCCTTGCTGACGAGCGGCGAGCCTGACACGCCAGCGGAGGAGGACGAGGCGACGGCCGAGCTCGACAGCGTCGGCGACGCGTCGGCCACGTACGCCTGCGCCGCCAGCGCTGCCGCCGGCTGGCCGATAATGTTGTAGCTCGAGGAGGAGCTGCCGCGGCTGCTGTCGTCGTCGGGCGCCGCCTCGGCAGCCGGCGGGTACACGAACTGAGCGGCGCCGGCCGACCCGGGCGCCGGCGACGACTCTGGCGTGATGCCCAGCAGGTCGGAGGCCACCAGGGTCTCGAGCTCGAGCGCCGGATCAACGCGACCGGCGCCCGTGGCCTCCCCGCGCGTTGACACCGCCTCCAGCACGCTCTCGAACTCACGCAACTGCTCCAGCGTGGTGGATGAGACGGAGGCGCTGGCGCCCCCGCCGCCGGCCGACGATGAGGCCACCGACACGGCCGCAGCCGGCATGTATTGGATCGTGTTACGACCAGCCTGCTGCGCTACCACGGGCCGCGGCGGCCGGGGCGGTGGCGGTGGCGGCAGCGGCGGCGGCGGAGGCGGCGGTGGCGGCGCCTGCTGCTGCTGCTGCTGTTGCTGCTGTTGCTGCTGCTGTTGCTGCTGTTGCTGTTGCTGCTGCTTTACCATGGCCTGCTGCTGCTGGTTCTGGATCAGGCGGGCCGTCGGCACGTAGATTACCTGCGGCACCGAGCGGCGCCGTTAGCCCAGTTACGCCCGGCCAGCAAGCAGCCACTCCACACGGGCCGGGTCGGCTTGGTGCTGGGATTCCACGCACGCAGGAAGCTTTTCCCCACACCTGTCCCCAGCAGATGTGTGCGTCATGCACCCAGCAAATCATGTATTAGCATACCCAAATGCATCACATATAACAGCTGGCTGGCACATATAATAATCCTTAAACTTGTTCGTACTGGGGTTTCCCCGCTCGGGCACACCCTGGTGCGGCATCGTCAGCGCCTCTGCACGGACGGCGCACCGAATGCTCACAATCCGTGTGCGGTTCGTGAGTTCGTAGCCCGCCACAGCTTGGCAGACGCCCTTTAGCACAGAGAACCTCACATGCCTCCCATAATTCTCCGCCGTCCGATTTGGGAGCGCTTTATAAACGTCATCTCAGGTCTCTGTCGTAAGATGCCAGTAAATCCCTCCGGACGTGACATTTCGGCACCATGGCTTGGACAGTTTGTGTTAAAATCGGCGCTGGTGGCATTAGATCGATGCTACAGTTAACGAATTCGAGCACGCCGTGTCCAGAAATGTTGGCCGGTGCCGCATACATTAAAAGGTGGGTGGCGGCTACAGCTGCCACGTTTGAGCCCACACGGCGGTCTTGAAAAGCCTGCACGGCATCTGGCGGGTATCGTTGGCTGTACGCGAATTTTCTACACCTACGTTTTATTAAGTTGCATCAAACATGACAAAACTGTTGGTGACAAAGGATGATGGAATTATACTGCACAAAAACTATAATACAGGGAAGCCATATTCAACTTAAAAGTCTTCCCCTTCTGCAGCGCATGCCATTTCATGAGCAACTAATCCATGACATCTTGCGGCTTCAAAAGCAGGCAGCCGTGGCTTAATGACCAACGCCCACAGTTTGGTATAATTCCTCACTACACATTCTGAGAGGATGAAATCTCCACACAAGCGCAAGAACCATATTCAAATAATCCCAGATTAGTCGAAGGTGTTGTTAGCGGTGTAATTTCCTTCTTCAGGAGCTCCAGTCTCCCAACGTTAGGAAGTGGACCAAACACAAGGGGAACACAACATTGGGAATATTTAGGCTGTAGCTTGATCCATTTGATCTCACCTCAGTACACCTCAAACTTATCTTGCAAAACAACACCCTTGGATGTTGCGTAACATTGTTGAAATACGTATCAGCCCAAGAGACACACACAATGACTAGCAAATACATACGATGCACGCTCCTACCACAAGACCTGCGCCAACAAAGCCCAGCCCACGCCCGAACTGACCTGAAAGCATGACCCTGCTGTGGAACTCTAACCCGTCTGCAGAACCCACAACAGTTCTACCAGCAAATCAGCCTTGGGTAGCTCAGACCAAACAGGCAACTTAGTAGTCCCAAAGTAGTCCCAAAGCGTAGCACCTCGCAGAGACTCTAACCTCACCAGCCTAGCACAGGAATTGTAGTTTCAACAGTAATGTCTTGCCCCCTGCCGCCCGTCTCCGAACAGACCAGACTGATTATTTCCGTGCCAAACAAGGCCGTCGCGCCAGTGTGCATAGCCAGTGACCAAGTGACCACCGCCACCGTGACCACCAACAAGTGACCAAGCCCAGCCTCCACCGGCGCTGTGCGAATTTTCGCAGGCTACAAATCGCCCATTTCTCAAGTGGAATGATCTTGTCACATCGGAACAGTGCAGGGAAGTAGTGCGTGGCTATCCATCATTCATACATATTCTGAAAGTCACCGAACCACAATTTATCAACTAGAAAATATTAAGCCAATCGTTGTTGAAACCTGCATGGGTTCGCGCCAGGCATTTATAGTTCGGACAAAATCTTTGGCCAACGGCTCCACTCCTAATGGAACTCGGCACCAACCTTGCGTGTTCCGGCCGTGTCATGGCGCCATGAACAGACGGTCACATGGCCTACAACAGACCATCGCCGTGCTTACCTGAGAATCCTTCTTGACCAGCGTGTACTGCTGACCATGCAGGAGGATACTCTGCGGCAGTTTCTGTTGATTGTTCAGCACCAGAACCTGCCCGGTCTGCATGCCCGGCTGCCCGCCCGAGCCAGAGGCGGTGCCGGTGGCGTTGGCCGACGTGGCGGTGGCGTTAGCGGCGATGCTGGTGGCAGTGGCAGCGGCGGCGGCGGCGGCACGCTGCGGCGTGGCCGGCGAGGCCGACACCTTGAGCAGGCTGGAGATGGCCGGCAGCGCGCTGGCCGCCGCCGCCGCCGCCGGCTCCGGCTCGGACGTCTGCGGCGAGGAGCGCATCAGGTAATCGGCGATGCGACCCACCAGGCCCTCGTCGGTGGGCGCCGGCTCAGTCTTGACGGCGATGTCCGACGACGCCTGCGGCGAGGCGGCGGCGGCGGCGGTCGGCGACGTCAGCAGGCTGGCCAGCTCCCGCGTCTTGACCTGGCGCGGCGCCGACGTGTCCAGAGGCCGCGAGAGGATCTCTGACAGCTGCGACGCGCCTGCTGGCGGCGGCGGCCGCGCGCTGGCCAGCAGCAGCGAGAAGTCGTCCTGGCCGCCGGCGGCGCCGGCAGCAGCGGCGTTGCTGGTGGGCGGCTCCAGCCGCTGGTTCAACAGCCGTGACAGCTGGCTCACCTGGCCCTGCTGCTGTTGCTGCTGTTGCTGTTGCTGTTGCTGCTGCAGCCGGGCCGCCTGCTGCTGCAGCGCCAGCGGGATCACTACACGCTTGACGTCCGGCACCAGCGGGTGCCGGACGACGGCGCTGGTGCGCGCCGGCGTGGCCGTCGCTCCGCTGGCAGAGTGCGCTACGCTGTTGACCGACTGGCCGGCCGCCGCCACCAGCGTCGGCGTCAGGCTGCTCGATGGAATGAACGTCTGCGAAACGGACGTGTCCTGTGACCGGTACAGCGTGATCGTCTCCTGCTCGCCGTCGCCGCCGCCATGCAGCAGGCGGCTCAGGCCAGCCGACGTCACCTGGCTCGACTGCGTCGGCGCGCGCTCGCCGGCGCTGTCCTCCTGCACCTTGCGCAGCACCTCCTGGAAGGAGATGGTGGCGCGGCCGGGCGGCGCCGACTCGGCGATCGGCGCGCCGCTGCTCGGTCCCGGCTGCGCCTGGGACGGCTCGCCGCCAGCCGCCGGCTCGGCACCGTCGGTGCGCGCCTTTTTCGTGCGACTGCCACCGGACGGCGCGCGGTTGCGGGCAGTCGCCACGCCGCTGCTGTTGTTGCTGGTACTGCTGCTGCTGTTGCCGGCGCCGCCGCCGCTGCCGCCAGAGCTGTTGCGGTTGTTGCGCGGTCGGCGCGGCTGCTGCGGCCCGCTGGCGGCGGCCGGCGGCGTTGAGTGGACCGGGTACACCAAATGCTCCTGAGGCGGCACCACCGCCGCGAACTTGGACACCAGGCCGAAGTCGAAGGCCGGGTCGGCGTCGGCGCGCGGCGGCGGCTCCAGCACGTCCAGGGGAGTGTCCCACATACTGAGCACTTTCTGTCGGTTGATGCGCACCTTCCGTAGCGCAGAGTCCTTCAGTGGCTTCTTGCGGATGCGGACGTGCTTGAGGCTGGGCCGCCGCTCAGGCACGTTGGCCGAATTCAGGTGGTTCTCGTCGGAGCCGGCCGACTGGCTGGGGCCGGACGGCGCCGGCGGGCCCGCCACCGACGCCGCCAGCTTCTGCCGCAGCGCCGCCATCGCCTTCATGCGCGTGTCGCTCATGCGACGTCGCATCAGGCTCTGCAGTCCGTCCTGCTGGGAGTGCGGCTTCGACTGCTCGCCCTCGCCGATGCGAGCCGGGCCGGCTGGCGGCGGCTCCCACGACAGCTTCGACTGCAGCCGCACGCTCGGGAAGAAGATGGTGGGCGCGCCCTGCTCCGACGAGCGGGGCAGCTCGCTGCGGCCGGCCGACGGCGGCCGCTCCTGCCGGTACAGGCGCAGCTGCTTGGTAGACTCGGAAGGAGGCCGGCCGGGCGTCGGCGGCGGATCTGGCGGCCGCGGCGGCGTCTTCTGCGCCAGCAGCTGTCGCTCCTCCATGTAACGACGCAGCATCTCCAGCCTCTCGTTCCACGCCGTGGAGGTGGTTGACTCCTTCTTAGGCCGGCCCCGCGGCCGACACGCCTTCCTGCCGTCGCCCTTGATGGTGGTCGTCACGCGCTTGCCCTCCACCGTCAGCGGCTTGCACTTCTTCACCCGCTTCACTGCCAGTTGTTTCTCCTTCTTGACCTTCACGGACTTCAGTGGCACCGGGTCAGCCACCTTGGAAACGGCTTTTGTACCATGCAGCTTCTTCTTGACGATCTTCTTGGCATGCAGTTCTGATGCACGCTTAGTTGGTTGCGGTTCCGACACATCACTCTTTGACGGCAATTGTGACAAACTTTCCTTCAATTTGCTGGAATACTTCTCTTCGTCTTTTTGACGCTTTCCGAAACTTTCCCGTTCGAGGGGATCGGCAGCTCCGAATCCGAAACATCTAACTCACCATCATCGGAGCCGTCGAGGAACCGCTCATATCCCTTCTCAATCCCGTAAAACTCGTCCAGCTCCTCGTTCTTCCTCATGAACTGACTGTAGTCGATGTCAAGAAACTTGAGCTCCTTGGTCGTGTTGACTAGGCCCTCGGGGTCGCGCAGGTACGCCCGGCAGATGGGGTACAGGTCGTCCCAGTCACGCGACCAAGAGAGCACCTTCCAGCGGTTGGCGCTGAGCACCACCAGCAGGTCGGCGGCCAACTGTTCCGAGACGCCGAGCGCGTCGAGAGCCGCGCCGCACCCGCGCA